CTAGCATTCACTATGTTAGGCATTCCTACAGACTTCTTGGTGAAGACCGAATCGAAGAAGTCATTGAGCATCTCTGCCATTTCCAAGTTTCCTGTTACTGTTTCTCCCTCCTCACTGACCAGTGGGCCTACCGTGTCCTTGGTCTTCCTCTTGCTTCTAATGCATTTATAAAAAGTCTTCTTGTTTCCCTTTATTCCTGTAGCTAGTTTGAGCTCATTTTGTGCCTTTGCCTTTCTAATCTTGCCCCTGCATTCCTGTGTTGTTTGCATATATTCATCCTTTGTAATTTGTCCTACTTTCCATTTTTTATGAGTCTCCTTTTTATTTCTAGATCATGCAAGATCTCTTGGTTAAGTCAAGGCAGTCTTTTGCCATATTTCTATCTTTCCGACACATTGGAATAGCTTGCTTTTGGGCTCTTAACAATGTCCCTTTGAAAAACTGCCAACTCTCCTCTGTTGTTTTTCCCCTCAGTCTTGATTCCCATGGGACCTTACCCATCAGCTCTCTGAGCTTACCGAAATCCGCCTTCCTGAAATCCATTGTCTCTATTTTGCTGTTCTACCCTTCCTTAGAATTGTGAACTCTATGATTTCATGATCACTTTCACCCAAGCTGCCTTCCACTTTCAAATTCTCAACCAGTTCCTCCCTATTTGTTAGGATCAAATCTAGAACAGCTTTCCCGCAGTAGCTTTTTCAACCTTCTGAAATAAAAAGTTGTCTCCAGTGCAGTCCAAGAACTTATTGAATAGCCTGTGTCCCTCATTGTTGTTTTCCCAACATATATCTGGATAGTTGAAGTCCCCCATCGCCACCAAATCTTGGGCTTTGGATGATTTTGTTAGTTGTTTAAAAAAAGCTTCATCCACTTCTTCTACTTGGGTAGGTGGCCTGTAGTAGACTCCTAGCATGACATCACCTTTGGTTTTTAATCCCTTTTAGCCTAACCCAGAGACTCTCAACACTTCCGTCTCCTATGTCCATCTCCACCTCACTCCAAGTGTGTTCATTTTTAATGTATAAGGCAACAGCTCCTCCCTTTTTTCCCTGTCTATCCTTCCTGAGCAAGCTGTACCCTTCTATACAAACATTCCAATCGTGTATTATCCCACCAAGTTTCGGTGATGGCAATAATGTCATAATTATACTTATTTATTAGCACTTCCAGTTCTTCCTGCTTATTTCCCGTATTTCTTACATTTGTATATAGGCATCTAAGATCATGATTTGACCTTGCCTCCCAGTTTTGCCCTGACCCTCCTTTCTCTCTGCCATTGTAGCCCACACTCCCTCCCGTTTCCGACCCATCTCCCAGGTCTCCATGTTCTTCACTTACCTGTCGGCTTTGCTCACCTGTCCCCGTCAAACCTAGTTTAAAGCCCTCCTCACTAGGTTAGCCATTCTGTGTCCAAATAGGGTCTTCCCCCTCCTCGAAAGGTGAACGCTATCCCTGCTTAGCAGTCCTTCCTGGAATAGTATCCCATGGTCGAGGAAGCCAAAGCCCTCCTGGCAACACCATCTTCGTAGGCAGGCATTCATCTCCAGGATGCACCTATCTCTAAGTAAGTATACTTAAAGATTACATGCTACCACAACAGGTCATTTTTAAATTTTAAGGTCTGATCCCATGACATCAGTGAGATTGTTTTCCATAATCAGGTTAGGAAGCTGTATTTGGAAAGAGAAGCTCTTATTTCCATTGCTTCCCCAACACAGCAAATAAAATGACTGCCATTAATTCCATAGTCAACGAGTAATAAAGATAATCACTTAAGTTACAATATTCTTAAGATACCACACTTGTTGCCTGTTTTCAGTTAAATATTGACTAGTGTGTATGAGCTTTCTTTACAATATGTGAGTTTCTAATCTTATTATGGAAAACATTCTGGCTAATAAATATAATTTGCCAAGATTAAAGCCCTGTTTACACAAACTAAGGAGCAAGCTTCTCTAAAATCACGCTGGACCTTGGGTGTTGCCGGACTAGAGACGTTCAAACTGTAGTAGGTTTTCGTCTACATTTGTAGCAAGTGTTTGAGCTGTAGGGATGTTAGTGAGTAGTTCCATATGTTCTTGACCTACCTATTTGCAACCAAACTTCATACATTAGTGTAAGAAAATATACTGACCAGTTTTCCTATATAAATGCTTTCATATATATCTGATTACACTGGACAATGAAAACCCTATCACATCAACTGTGTACAGCGGCATGCCATGAATATTATAGCAATAAAATAAAGCACAGAGATCCATGCTTTTTATTGCAGAATTTCTAATTAAATGCTAAAGTTCTGTGTTTAGTTCCATCTTGATCTTAAACAGCGTCAGCTCTCTGGACTTGATTATTTCAGCTCTGTCATTTGTTAACTAAGCCATTTGGAAAAACAGAACAAAATTTTCTTTATAGTGGGCCTGCATTTTTTTTAAATTTTTGTACTTGCTATTGATCACCACCTGAAGTGACATAATCTTAAATTCAATAATGTCAAATGAGCAGTTATTGCAAAAGCAGTAGAAGTAACTGCACAGAATGTCCATTTGTTACTTGTGTTGATGTTGTAAGTACTGGTTTAGAGCTATATTAAGAAGCAAACTTAAGCTGCACTGTTCTGGATGAATTGTGAATGGGATAATGTGGAACCCAGGCATACAATTATTGCAGAACCCTGAATTGCTAAACAATAGAAATTTTCATGGATTTTTTTATTTTCATTGTGACCTGAAAATAAAAGTGCGTCAAAGCACTTTACAACATGAAGTTGCTTCATAACTAGGACTTTTTCAGTCAGTTCTGGTCTCTGATTGTTCCTGTGTGGTTTTTGAAAAGTGATGGCATCTAGTGTATATTAATGGTTTACTTGGTGTAGTATTGGGCACGCTCTTTTTTTTTCTGCATTGGTGATTGAAGTTATACCATGTGCCATTGTTTCTGAACCTTTTTGGGAAATTGCTGGATTTTCATCCTAAGACATCTGTTGCAACAACTAGTGTGATTTGGATACATCAAAGATCCGTTGTGTGTTGGATGGCATAAAGTGAATAGGGTTACCAGATGGTTTCAGAAAAAATACCGAACAAAAAAACAAACAAACAAAAAGGACTCTGTTTGGATATTGAGCTCGAGAGGAGTTAAGCTTAAAAAAAAAAAAAAAAAGTATGGCCTCTTTAAAAAACGCTGGTGAGGCTTTTTGGCCCTAACAGGCTGCCAGCAGCCACCCGCCATTTTTCCTTCCCTGCGTAGCTCCCCTGTGGAACCTGGTAAGCAGTAGGGTTCCCAGGCTGCCTGCGTATTGAGCCGTACAGCCCGGGATTTTCGCCTCCTGTTCAGGAAAAATTCAGAAGGTACCAGACATTTTAGGTGTCGGGTATTTTCTGAATTTTTTTACTGGACAGGAGGCGAAAATACCGTACTGCCTGGTTCAGTACCAGACACCTGGCAACCCTAACACTGAAATGGGAAATGGTGTCAGGAGACCTAGCTCATTAAGGAAAAAGCAGGGAGTCTAGAGTAGCCCTCTCCAAATTAGCATCAATAATAGCAATATATTAGTGGTTGCAAACCATTACAATACATACACCCTCATTGTAATATCGGTTAGCCAATGAGATGCTACTTTGAAATGGTCTTTAAGGAAGGAATAGTCTTATGTGTTTAATATATGAATGACACCTTTGTTTCAGAAGTTATGAGTATATTTGTAACATACTACAAATCAATTTTCATGCATCCATAATGAATTTTATTAAGACTGATTTTAGAAATATCACTATTGATGCACGTTTTCCATGACCTAATTTGATTAATCAGTTATGATATACAGAAATGAACTGGAGTTAATAACTTATTTACCATTATTTTTTTCAGACACTGGAAGCCATTTTGAATTTCAAATACTCTGGGGGACCAGGGCATGTTGATGGCTATTACAGGAACCTCTCTCTGGGCCTTCATGTGGAAGTGGAGCCATCTGTCTTCTTTACACATGTCAGTACCCTTCCTGCAACAAGGTAAGTCTTTCCTTGATCCTTGCAACCTAAGATATCAACAACACCACACAGACAAAAGCTCCATAATGGAATTAGAGGTATGGAGAGATGTGTGGAACTGCTGGATACTGTAGGATACCAATTATAACCTACTTTTGCCTTAGAAAATCTGACTTTGTGGTCAAGCAGTTTTTTGTGCATTGGAAAAAATTTTCAGTTTATATATTTTCATCTTGCTGTTTTGTTTTCAAACCATTTCCTTTTATAATGGGTACCTTCTTCCATGTCTCTTGTCTGAAATTATGATGGTATTAGTGTTGTTGTTTGTTATTTTTGACTATTTTCTGCATGCTGCTGGATAATAATGAACTACCTAAAATCTCTAGTATAATGCGCACCTATGTATAATGCGCATCTGCCTTTTAAAGGTCAAAATTCTTGAATAAACTAAACTCTTATCTATAATGCACATCCCCATTATACATGAGATTTTAAGGTATGCATAGGAAGGAAGGGGCTCGTGCCTGGCGCGGGGTCCCCTGCCCAGCTGAGCTTGTGCATGCTGAGCTCGCGCCTTCCGGGGGCGGGAGCCTCCCCCACCCAGTTGCCGGCGCGCCGAGCTCGTGCCTGCTGCGGGAGCCTCCCCTGCCTAGCTGTCCGCGCACTGAGCTCGTGCCCGCCGGCCCTGGCGCACCGAGCTCGCACCTGCCGGGGGAGCGACCCCTGCTCAGCTGCCGGCGTGCCAAGCTTGTGCCTGCTGAGGGTGAGTTTAAAACTTAAAAAAAAAATCTCCTATGGATAATGCACAGCCCGACTTTGATGTTAAAAAAACAGGAAAAAAGTGCGCATTATATTTGCGACTTTACGGTAGTAAGTTTTGCTTATTTTTTCCTAAGTGGATTTTTACCTGTTTCTCGTAGGTGATAGTTGAATAATTTATAGTGACTTCCATCCCACGGATCATCAAAGATCAAAATTTTCAATCTTTGGGTGCCTAAAATCAATGAACAATAATGAAAATAAAGTACTTTTAATAATTACAAGAGGGCTGCGCCCCCTGCTCATTATGCTTGTCAACCCACCCTCTCATTGGCCGTTTTCATGGCCAGAGAGCCCGTTAATCTTACGCTGAGCCCAGTTGCGCTCTCCATGGCTCCAAGTCACTTGCACCCATCTCCACTCCTACCCACCACACCTCACGATGGGCCCTTCTATTCGAAAACTCTTGGCCCATCCCACCTACTCATGTCCTTCAATTGCCAGATAATCTCCCCCACATGCCAATAAAATAGTCCATGGCCCACATCCCATCCCCCCTCCTTCCATTTCTAGCCCCACCTCCATCCTCTATTTCTACACCCCGATTCCCCTGCCTCCATTCCTACACCCACCATCCTCCCTAGCCCCTTCCCTCCCTTCCTGCCCATCTCCCTCCTTCCCTTCCTACACCCATCCATCCTCCCTAACCCCTCCGCACCCTTCCACTGCGTATCCCTGCCCCCACCTCTTTCCTCCATATTCCTAAACCCCCCAGCCTTTTCTAACTCCCTCTCCGAATCCCCACGCTGCCCATCCCCCACCTTCATTCCTATATCCCCCTCATCCCCACCCTTACCATATCACCCATCCCCACATATACCCTTATCCCCTTTCCTCCCTCCCTATGCACACCTGCCCCCTCCCATGAACAGGCAACCTAACCAGCAAAGAAATGGCGCCAAGTCCATAGGGAGGAATTTTGCGGGGGAGGGGTGGTGCGGCTGTTCCAGGTGTTTGGATCTCAGCAGCTGCCTGGAGAAGAGGAGTGGCAAAGGTGGCATTGATGGGGTTCTGAGATGCAGAAAAGGGGGATGTTTGTAGTTAGAGGAAATGGAAAGGAGGCAGAGAAAGAGGCTGGAGGAAGGGGCAGACAGCGGGAGTTCCTTTGGGATGCCAAGATGGGAGTCTGTGAGGAGGGAGCTGGAGGGGGCTGAGATCAGAGGATGGAAAAAGGGCCAAGGGGGCCATGCAGTGAGGGCAGTCTCTGGGTGCCACCATGCAGAGGGAGGGACCACCACTGGCTGGTTTGGGGGGCTGGCAGCCTCTGCAACGCTGTTGGATCTCTCCTTTGGCTTGGTGCTGGTGATTGCTTAGGCTTGGTGCTGGTGGGGACACTCAGGGCACAGCGGAGGATAGGGCGGCGCGTGGTTGGGGACGCAGGGTACAGAGCTGCCCCTGTTCCTTATGTGAGTGAGTCAGACCTCACACAAGCTGAAACAACTCTCTGGGCTAGGTTGGCTGAGAGACCCTGCCTGGGAAGATCATGGCCTTGTGGCCCCTGTCCCTGGACAGCAAGTCAAAGCTCAGCCCGTACCACGCACGCGGTCGTACACTACAACCAGCTATTGGCTGGTCCAGCATGCAACCAGAACCTCCACTCAGCCACCAGGCCCTGCGCCCCTTCCCCTATGGGCCGGCCTACTCCCGCATGGTGCCTGTGACCACTGGGAAGGCCCTCAACATCCCCAGGTCCAGCCACCCCAGAGCTTCTATCTGAGGTTTCCCCTCTGAGCAGTGGCTGCGACGGCAGTGCTGCAGCCCCATTCCCTGCAGCATGATGATCCTGAGTGGTGCCCAGCCCCTGGATGGAATTGCTCCAAGCGCCAGGAGCTGTTTGGGGATGGCAAAGCCAACTGGCCTGGGCAGATTATGCCTCCCAAGGATCCTGCCTGCTCAGCTCTGGCCGTAGCCTTTCAGACGTTGGAATCTGCCCAGGCTGAGCTGCCAGGCGGCTTTGCCAGTCCCCAACCCGTGTCTGGGGCAAGGAGGCCATGTGGGGGCGGAGCTTGTGGGATGCAGAGTGTTGTGATGACATCACTGTGTCGTCCCACAGGAAAATCATTTTTATACAGAGCGATATTTGCTGCTATTATAATTACCCGATCAATACTAAAACCTTTCTTCTAAATAATCTGTTTCAGTTTCATTGTCTTCATTTTGTTTGAGGTATGTCTTGTGCCAGTAGCTATTTTATGAAAATTCTGTATGTTAAAGTTCTTTTTTTGGTGATGGCTTCATGATGGTATAAAGAGCAATGGTGCCTAGACCAGTGATTTTCAAAGTATGGGTTGTGACCTACTACTGGGTTGCGAAAAGACAGGCACTGGGTCACCTTGCTATAGGTAGACAAGATGGCCGGGGGGCGGGGGGGCGGGCGGTGTGTGTGCGCTAAGGCTAGTTTCTTGGCAGTCCTTGCACTGCAAACCACACTGTGCCCAGGAAGTGGTCAACAGCAGGTCTGGCTCCTAGCTGGAGGTGAGTAGCCAACTCTTACAAGATAAAGCAAAACAAGCCAAAAAATGAAGCCAATCCCATTTCAAAACAAGCCCCAAATGAGCTCTGTTCATTTTTGCTTGTCAGTGCCTAGAGACAAACCAGGAACTTGCCAATGGCAGTGTGGAGCCAGAGCTTGGTGTGGGGACAGCCTGTGGAGCTGGTCCTGCTGCTGGTCATTTTCAGGGTACAGTGTGGTCCACTGTGCCAAGACAGGCAGGAAGCCTGAGACCAAGAGTCGCCGGAGGTAAGCTTATGCCCCAACAATTCCCTGAGCCCCCACCAACCCAGAAAAACCCTCCTGTACCTCAAACATCTCACCCCGGCCCCATCCCATAGCCTGCACTCCTGTACCCCAGTCCAGATTCCCTGCCCACATACTGAATCTCTCTGCCTCACTGTCCCCAGCCTACACCCCAACTCCCTCATCTCTGGCTCTACCCAGAACCCACACCCCTAGGCAAAGCCTCCCCCCCACACCCTTCCTTACCCCAAAACCCTCATCCCACAGCCATACCCTACAGCCTGCACTCTCATCAAAAGATATAATCATACTGGATCATGGGCATCAACAATTTTTTTCAACTGGATCATGAGAAAAAAAGTTTGAAAACCATCACCCTAGGCCACATTCAATTCCTTCTTACCATCCACCATTGATAGATGGTGTTGGTTGTAAAGTTTCTCCTTACAGGGAAATGATTTTCCTTTCTGTAAATACTTAAGTTTGTGGGCTTTGAAAGTGTAGCTCTTCATTTTTGTTTTTCTTGGAGCCTGGTTTCCCTCTTATTAACAGTGTTGAAGTATGCCCTGGTCTCTGAGTTTTAAGCCTTGTGCTGGCTGCAAGAAACCTGTGCTGTGGAGTGACTGGCATTCTGTCTGCCTTAAGTGCTTTGCTGAGGGTCACATCATAGACCACTGCTGGATTTGCAAGCACATTAAACCACTGACAGAAAAGGAAATAGAGGTTCCCAGCAATGTAGATTTTCTATCTCCTGAACATTAGCTGGAAATGATTCTTGTGCAAGAGAAAGAGCTAAAAGAGGAAAGAATGTGTGTCCCAAATACCTCTCCCTTGCTCTGTACCCATGGCAGTGTCAACCCTGAAGAAAAAAGGAAGCAGTGTTGGATCGGGGTGTGGGTGGAGAGAAATCCTGACTGAAGATGGTTCAGTCAATAAGACTGTTGGAACGCACAGTGAGAGAGACCTTTGATTTATATTCATTTAAATTGTAAAGTTAGCTGTTGTTTGTGTTCTACCTTTTACTTCACTGTAATCAGTTCTGATATATATGCCACATTATTTGTTGACACTTAAAATCTATCTTTTTATAGTTAATAATTTTGTTTTATCTAATCCAGTTAATTTAGATTAAGTATTTGGAAAACTCCCTTTGGGATAACAAGATTTATGCATATAATTTCGTATTAATGAAATGGTGGACTATATATGAGCTTGCATTGTGTAGGAGGGTGCTGGATAGTACAAGACACCCATTTCTGGGGAAAGTCTGGGACCTGGTGTTTGCTGGTGTTGCCCTCCTGTGTAATTCAGAATGGCTGGCTATAAAACTTGCACAATATAGTTGGGAGTGATTTACGTGCTGGAGGCTGTAAGAGAGTAGATCAGGAATTGTTGCTTTCACAGGGAAGCCTTCTGAAAAGCACCCAGGTTACAGAATTGAGGGGACCGCAGCTATCTATCAGTCCAGACTTAACCATGATAATATCAAAAATCCATCCATTCCCCTTGGTTCTATTAGGGTTCTGAATTATTACATAATACGTTCTCTTTCATTAGGCATAGTACACATAATAATAGTCTTAGGGGCAGGTCTATACTTTAAAAAGCTGCAGTGGTGCAGCTGCACCAGTACATCTGTAGAAATTTAGTGAGGACACTACTACACAGATGGGAGAGCTTCTGTCACTGTAGTTAATGCATCTCCACAAGAGTGGCAGCTGTGCACACAGGAGAAGCTTTCCCACCAAGATACAATTGTCTGCACTGTGGGTTAGGTTAGTATAACTACATCGTCCTGGGATGTGGAAAATCCACATCCATGAGCAATGTAGTTATGTATTAATATAAGTTTATAGTGTAGTTCTGGCCTTTTATTTACTTCAGTTCTGCCTTTCTTAAATAGATAAGGTTTTCATTTACAGATTTAAATATTTACATGAATATAACATGAATATTGTTCATAATAGAAATATTAGGCTTCAATTTCAGTGACAGTTTAAAAAATTAAAACAGCTAACACTTCTACCAACTGCGCATTTCTAGACCCTTAATTACTAGCAGCAGACCCAACTTGCAGGGGGTTTAGTGAGAAGAACAGCAAAACGATTTTTCAGACTGAGAACCGATTTTTTAGTGAAGATCAAAAGTTAAATTTGGAAGCTCTATTTCTTAAGACTTCTAAAAACTCAGTTGAAATAAACCTAGTAAACCTATAATGAAGACTGTTGTAGGGGGTATTCTAGATAAATGGTTCCCAGTGTGGGTTCTTAATCATTTGTTCATGGTATGCTTGTTAGTGGTTTGCATAGAGCCAGGTGGGTTTATAATATGCTATTGATTTTTCCTCCTTGTTTGCAGCTGATTATGCTGTCTGCATTTTTTTTCTTTGAAACAATACTGATCTTAGTAACCTGGGCCTTAAAAGGACTGTCAACCAACTCATGTTTAGTAACGTTGTCTTTTATAGAGAATTGAGAAACTCCATGGTTTAATGAAGGCAGTCTTTTAATAAAGATGGTGCTGGATTGTACTTCATACCATAAAATCTTAAGTATAATGCGCACCTATGTATAATGCGCATCTGCCTTTTAAAGGTCAAACTTCTTGAATAAACTAAACTCTTATCTATAATGCACACCCCCATTATATGTGAGATTTTAAGGTATGCTAGGAAGGAAGGGGCTCGCGCCTGCTGCCGGGCCCCCTGCCCAGCTGAGCTTGTGCACGCTGAGCTCGCGCCTGCCGGGGGGGTGTCTCCCCCGCCCAGTTACCGGTGTGCCGAGCTCATGCCTGCCAGGGGCGCATCCCCCGCTTAGCTTCCGGCGTGCCGAGCTCGCAGCTACCAACCCCCACGCCCCAGCCTAGCAGCTAGTGCCTGCTAAGGGTGAGTTTAAAACTTTATAAAAAAAACCTCCTATGGATATTGCACACCCTGACTTTGACGTTAAAAAAAATGGGAAAAAAAGTGTGCACTATACTCACGACTTCACGATACTTTTGAGGATACGGCAGTCAATCTTTCGGCATTCGATTTAGTGGGGTGACCCGCTAAATTAGGGGTGGGGAACCTAAAGCCTCGGGATGGAATGCAGCCCCTGGGTTGCCTGGATCTAGCCCCTGAGGATTAGGGCCTCCTCTAGCATTGGGGAGCTTGTGCTGACACTCCAGTCCCCCCACTGCCTCCCTGTAGCCCTTGGCCCCTGACTGATTTTTCTGTGGTTCAGTGGCCCTCGACCCAAAAAAGATTCCCTGCCCCTGTGCTAAATGAATGCTGATGACGCTCTCATCGTTGGTGGTACTCTCACAGTCATGAGGAATAAGGGAAATTGATGAGAGCACTTCTCCCATCAACCTCCCGTGCTGGGGATGCCCCAGGAAATTGACGTAACATCCCTTGACTCCAGCTATGCAATTGTAGGTGGAATTGCATATGTTACTTTGATTTTTCTCTGCCAGTGTAGATCTCGCCGTAGAAGTGATTCCACTAGATAGGTGACATGGGGACGTGCTGATCATAACTACGTTCTGCTATTGTTCAGCAATGCATGATCCTTTTTAAAATCTTGACAAGATTTAGCAGAGTTAGTTTTTGAGGAAAATTAAGATAACGTGATTGGAAAAGATTAAAATAAATTATAATAATACAGTAATTCCATTTTATACATATATAGTTCAAATACTCTGTTACTGTAGCTAGCTATAGTATTAATTTCTTTTTCATTTCCAAACAGCACCCGACAATGCCATCTACTCCTTGATGTCTTCAATTCAACTGAACATGAGCTGACCGTTAGTGCTAAAAACAATGAGGACCTAGTTCTTCATGCAGGGGAATGTCAGCGGTAAGTGCTTTTGTCATTAGAGAGATACTACTTTAGCTTTATTCTCTCAATTTCTGTGAACAATTTAATTTTTTAAGATCATTGTACAGTTTCACAGACTGTAGTCTGTTTTTGTTTCTGTGAAGATGTATCTTTGAATGCTAAGAATTTCTTGGTGTAATTTATTTTGTCTGCAGTTTTCTTCCTGTAAAATTAATTGCAGGAAACAAGGTGATTGTTATTTGTGGAACGGACGAATGGGTTCAGCATTGTATAAAGGACATAGACTGTTGGATTGACTGGCTATGTTTTCTAAAAGTTTGATAATATAATGGCTCCTGATTTACCTTAAACGCAGTGTATTTTGATGTTGAAATCTCAGTTTTTATTCACTTAAGTAGATTGAATTTATTAATATATAATCTTTGCACAGAATAGACTTTTCTTCATACAGTTCACTTCTACCATAATGACTATTTTGAGAAAAGGAGAAATACACAAAAGAAATTGGAAACAGAAAAAAAGAAATGGGGAGCAATTACTGTAGGTTAGCTTTGTGGTTTGTTCCCTTCATTGGTGTCCTTGGGCACTTACCTGTCCATTCCACAGTTGTTAGACTGTTTGTTCTTAGTAGCAGGCACCATCGTTTTTTAATATCTGGAAAGTGCATGTCACATAGCTGGACATAGTCCTAAACACACAATAAATAGAGTTGAGACCATGACACTCTCAAATTTTTCCTAAGACCCTATTTCTTCTGTGATGCTTATAAGAAGTGAATTTATTTTATTATTTTGGGAGAAAATTAGTCTCATGATGACAAAACATTAACTAGAGGCTTCCTCGAAAAGTAATGTTAATTTATTTGAAGCATGATGTTCTCTGGGTAAGATACTCAGACCCCCTCCCAGCCATCTTCCCTCATAATGTTCTCCCAGCAAAATAGCCATCAATTACACATTGCTTCCCCTCTACCTCCTCCCAGGTTGTGGGGAGAGGTGAGCTAATGTGTGTTTTAGGAATGAATCTACACATACTGCTTTAGGAGTTTTAGGGAGAAAAAGTTTTTCTGATTTGATGATTGGTGAATTTGACTGCTTCTGTTTCTTTGGAAGGCATTTCACTGCCCATTTCCTGCATACTCTGAAACAAAAATGAAAGACAGATTGCTGGTTAATTGACAAGTGTTATGGACTGTTGGTTTCTTCTGCTAAGATCTGCACTTACTTCCTTTAGAATGCTCACTGTTCTGCCCTTAAAGATGGAATTGACAGTCTGCCTCCAAGTAACCTAGCTCTTCTTTTTCAATATTCATCAGCCATGAAGGCCTTTATGTCCAAACCAGGGTGAGGAATAGAATTTACTTACCACAGAGAGAGCCTATGTGAACACCCAGTTCTAAATCCAGATACACTTTTGCTTTCGATTTCTCAAGATCCTGCTTTATTATTGTGGATGTGGGCAACTTATTGTAAATCGAAGTAATTTTTTCTGCAAAATAACCAGCAATTTGCTTTCGGGGTAGTCAGATAAGCCTCTTTGAGAAACTAAATTTCATTAAACAGTTTATCTACCATATGGAATACTACTGTTTCTCAAGAGGTTTGCAGATGCTTTGCCTCTCACAACTATACTGCAAGACCTTAAGATACATGCCAGTAAGTCATCTTTGGCTCAGGATTTCTGCCATTATCTCTTTAACTGTCCTTCAACCTCCTTCATCTCACAGATTCTCATTAAACCAAGGTTACTTGTAAGGATGAAACCATTGTAAGGGAAACATTCCAGTACTGTTAATAGTGGCAGATTGTCATCAGAAGGTATTCCTCACTCCTTGAGGAGAATTGAATTATATTTTCAAGCTATTGGTGCCAATGATTTTTCCATGAGAGGGGGTACATTACCCAGCCCTCTATTTTTAAATGAAACACTACCTCCAAATTTGACACTGCAGCTGCCTGGATCAATCCTATAATGATCACTGTTGACTACAAAATCATCATCTGAGTAAATAATGAAGGTTTTAGGCAGCCATTATAGTTTTTGAAGAAAAACATAAATTTATTTATATATGGGATGCTCAGTGGTTACTGTTGAATAACTATTAATACATATGTAACAATAGCATCTTGAGAGCAGTGATGGAAATGTAGCCGTGTTAGTCTGGTGTAGCTGAAACAAAACACAGGACTATGTAGCACTTTAAAGACTAACAAGATGGTTTATTAGATGATGAGCTTTCGTGGGCCAGACCCACTTCCTCAGATCAAATAGTGGAAGAAAGTAGTCACAACCATATATACCAAAGGATACAATTTAAAAAAATGAACAAATATGAAAAGGACAAATCACATTGCAGAACAGAAGGGGGATGCGGGGGGGTGGGAAGGGGGAGGAAGGAAGGTAAGTGTCTGTGAATTGCTGATATTAAAGGTAGGGAGAGTGGGATGTTTGTGAGTTAATGGTATTACAGGTGATAATTGGGGAAACTGTCTTGGTAATGGGTGAGAAAGTTCAAAGACTTGTTAAGTCCTTGTTGGTAAGTGTCGAATTTTAACATGAATGACAGTTCAGAGGATTCCCTTTCAAGTGCAGATGTAAAAGGTCTTTGTAGCAGAATGCAGGTGGCTAAGTCATTTAGAGAGTGTCCTTTCTGGTTAAAGTGGCAAGAAACTGTTTTCTCTTTGTGATCTTGTCTGATATCTGTTTTGTGGGCATTAATCCTTTGGCGAAGTGTCTGAGATGTTTGTCCAATGTACATAGCAGACGGACACTTTCGGCACATGATAGCGTAGATTATATTTCTGGATGCGCAGGAATATGTGTTCTTGATCTTATAACTCACTTGGTTAGGTCCAATAATGGTATCAGCAGAATGAATATGTGGACAAAGCTGGCAACGGGGTTTGTTGCAAGGGAAGGTACCAGGGTTGGTATTAGTGTGGTATGTCCTGTGGTGGTTGGTAAGAATCATCTTGAGGTTAGGTGGTTGTCTATAGGAGACTATGGGTCTGTCTCCCAGAGCCTCTTTGAGTATGGTATCCTGTTCCAATATAGGCTGTAGTTTATTGATAATGTGTTGGACAGGTTTAAGTTGGGGGTTGTAGGTGATGACAAGTGGTGTTCTATTGTTGGTTTTCTTGGGTCTGTCTTGAAGTAGATGGTTTCTAGGTATTCGTCTGGCTCTTTCAATTTGCTTTTTTGTTTCTCTGGGTGGGTAGTTGAGATTTATAAATGCTTGGTAGAGATCCTGAAGCTTCTGGTCTCTGTCAGTGGGGTTAGAGCAGATGCGGTTGTATCGAAGGCCTTGGTTATAGACGATGGATCGTGTGGTGTGTTCTGGATGGGAGCTGGATGCATGTAGGTAACTGTATGAGTCGGTGGGTTTTCTGTAGAGAGTGGTGTCTAATTTTCCATTGTTGATTTGTACGGTGGTGTCCAGGAAGTGGATCTCTCGTGTAGAATGGTCCAGGCTGAGGTTGATGGTGGGGTGTAGGTTGTTGAAATCTCTGTGGAATATCTCCAGTGTTTCTTGGCCATGTGTCCAGATCATAAAGATGTCATCGATGTACCGTAGGTAGAGGAGGGGTGAAAGGGGACGGGAGTTGAGGAAACGTTGTTTTAGGTCAGCCATAAAGATGTTGGCATACTGTGGGGCCATGCGTGTACCCATGGCTGTGCCGCTGATCTGGAGGTATAAGTTGTTCTCAAACTGGAAATAATTGTGGGTGAGAACAAAGTTACATAGGTCTGCTATCAGGTTGGCAGTGGTGACATTCCTGTATAAAAATTTTACAGAGTAGGCTCATAAAATTTTGCTCCTTTTCTCAGTGTGAGAGATGAATAGCTGTTGTTCCCCTACAGGTAACAATTATTTATACTAGGTTTGATGATGAACAAAAGTGATTATATAAAGTATAAAAAGTGGGATTTAAGTGGTTGGCAGTAGTGACAGAGCTCAAAGTAAGTTACCATGGTAATATAAACAAAACAAGCCAGTTAAACCTAAATACAGTAAGAGAAACTGTGACCAAACATAATTCCTCACCTTAGTCCTTATTTTAAGAAAAATTCTTCAAGACAGAGCTGTTCTTTTCCTTGACCCAAGTCTAATAGCTTCTTCTTTTCTTGTGTCCTCTTATGAGGAGAACAGTTGAAGACAGGCATTGTTTGTTCCCCGTGCCTTAAATGGAATTTCCCCAAAGTGGGAATCCTTAGTTCCATTCTCACCAATCCCCCCGCCCCCGTGAAGAGTACAGAATTAAAGATGGATTCCAGCACCATAAGGTATGGTCACATGTCTTTGAAGGACCAGCCACAGTTTGAGCTTAAAAACAAAACTATTGGCAGCTCATTATCTTGGGCTCTGGGCCATTAAGCTCCTTTCACTAGAAGACCTAGAGTAGTAATAGGTTTATACTTCATATTTCTAACTTCACAGACAGGAAAAATACACGCACACAACAGAATATACACGTTCAGCAGATTACCAGCTTTTCACTAAAAGATTGTATGCCACATTTTGCAGAAATCCTACTTGAGTTATGCGTATGCACATTCAAAAGCATATTTCCATAAAATACGGGAATATAACATCACACAGTTCTTATTGCCTTGTCCCCAAAAAGGTGTATAAAATTGGAAAAGGTACAAAGAAAAGAAACAGTAATGATTAGGGGCATGGAACATCTTCCATATGAGGAGAGATTAAAGATATAGGGACTGTTCAGCTTGGAAAAAAGACAATAAGGGAGGTCTGATAGAAGTCCATAAAATCATGAATGGTGTGGAGAAAGTGAATAAGGAAGTATTTTGTATCCATTTGCATAACTTGTGAACCAGAGTCATCCAATGAAATCAATAGGCAGCAGGTTTAAAACAAATAAAAGGAAGTACTTCACATAACACCTAGTCAACCTGTGCAACTTGTTGGTAGGGGCTGTTGTGATGTCCAAAAATATAATTGGGTTCAAAAAAGAATTAGATAAATTCATGGAGGATAGGCCCATCAATGGCTAGTA